GGGAGAGGCGCGATGAAATGATTTGTCAGCGTTTGTCAAGCGTCCCTTTTTGTCGAGTCGATCGCTCGCGAACGTTTCTCGGCCCGCGCAAACACCTGTGTTTCCTCGAGCAAACCGAAAATGCAGACATTCTTCCCCCCCTCGCGGAAAGTAATAAGAACTCTCTCGTCTTTTATCGAACGTGTCTCCGCCACGATCGATCGATTCCAATCAGAAATAATTCATCGTCCATCGTGTACATTTTTTGCTCTCCGCCCCCGTTTTTGCACACCGTGCAATTTCGATTTGCTCTTCTCCGGTCCTCCTCCCGTAACATCTCGCGCCGTGGCGGCCGAGCTCGACTCGTTTCCACGTTCCGCGAAAACTGTATCGTCGATCGACAGAACCGTCTGATAACGTCTCTTGTAAATTTAATCGTCGCAGATCCGATTGATCTATATTCGAGCTACCAGCACCGCTTGAACGTTTCATTCTACTAATTGCGAGAGAGTTTTTCTAGAAATTCGCGTGGAAAAAATCTTCTATCTCTGCCAAATTTTTAAGATGCGAAAGAAAACTGATATTTTGACATTTTTAGACGAAATAAGTTGCGAATTGTATACACACACGACTTGGAGTCTCGATTGCGCGACCGTCGAGAGAAAGGATCGCGGAAGATGATGTTTGTACAGTTAGAGGCTTCGGTGATTTCGATGCGTGGCAAGCGATACCGCGCGCCGTTGAACTTCAACGTGTTAACGTCTCGCCATCGCGCGTTTACGAAGTAACTCCGTGAACTTGATCGCAGGGCGACTAGACGCGATAACAATTCCAGTTCTGAATAGAAAATTCACCGATCCTAAAAACAAAACGAAATACGGAAGTTCCTTTCTGAGATAATTCAGTTTCGGTGGACTATTTTCTTTCTGTACGAATATTCATCTTTCTGACATTTATTCCGACAAATCTAGGAGGAAAAGTGTTGCTATCAGGATCCTGCGTTCGTAATCCACTATGAATTGAGCAAAAAAATTACACATTTCTAAAAAATTCACGATTCGCGGAATGTGCGAGATCGAGCACCGCACGCCCGCCCGCCCTACGTAACAAAAGCAAGTAACGAACAGAACAAAGAAGAAGAGAATGCAAAGCAGGAAGAATAAAGTCAGGCTGTAAAAAATGAAAAAATTTGTGAACCGCGACCGGTGGCCGTGCAAACGCGGCCGATTCTACTTGTATCATAATCTCTTACGATAGCTATTATTAAACAATAACGAAACAGTAACAAAACAATAAGGTAACTCGTAATTTAAGGGAGCGTGAAAAACAGGATGAAAGTACGCAAACGAGAGAGAGAGAGAGAGAGAATGTGTGAAAGATTTTTTAATCGTGCGACGAGTACGCGAGTTAGTGATTGCTGTGTCACTAAGAGAAGCACCTCGTAGCTACGAACGGGCTTCGCGGCTTTTCAGTCGCTGGTCTCGCGATTTTCTTCTGCTCAACTCTCGTCCTTTGTTCCACCGAAACCACTGTATTCTTCTAATAAAAAAAAAACGAATAAAGTGGTTTCTTTCTTTTAAGCAAGCGAAAAATAGGCGGAAAAGAAAAAGAAGAAGAGGAGAAAGAAAGATTGCTAAGAAACGCAAAAAGAAAAAAAAAAAGAAGCGCGAGACCAGTGTCTGTAGCCGGCCCAAAGGATTTTTACCAAAACGACTCCGCGAGTCGCGGAGTGGAAGCAGTTATATAAAAAAAATTAGACGTAATTATTGAATTTCGTTCGGTTTTGTAAACGAAGTCGAAGCGTGTCCAACCAACGACTGGCCCCTTTGGCTTTGATCGTGTGCGGCCGATCGTTGCGTTGAAAGATGGCGGCGACAACGTGTTTCGTCGGCTTTGCGAGTGGCGAATTTTGTAAAACGCGGACGCGTCCCGCGAACGATCGCTGGCACACTGACGAACGGACGATCTCATTCGACTCGAATTCGAGTATTTTCTGTAATCGTGATTTTTAATCCTCGCGTTTATCGTTGACAAAATCATTGTATATTTATTCATCGAGTATTTGTAAGATTTTCTCGCCAGTGAACTTGACGAGCGAAGAAAAAGGGAAACGATGATACGATTTTGTTTACACGCGTGGAAATTTTGTTCTTTTTCTTGTTTTGGAAATTTTATTATCGTGAAATAACGTCGAGCTCTTTTTAATCGAGGATCCGGTCTCCGGACGAATCCTTCTTGTTTTTCGATCGACGATTTAATTATTGTTGGAAATTGATCGATTTTTATAACGCTGTTGATTCGGAATATTGTCTGTTTGTTCGTTCATTTTTCTACTTTTAAACGGTACTTTTAACGGATTTAGACGAGAGAATGAAACATTCGACCAGTGATCGCTTGCCGACGCGTCGTTCGGGACGTAATTTGAAGGAATGCGTTGTATTATATATCGAGAAAACCCTCTAAGTGTAAGAATAATAATGTATATATAATTATTATTACCGTAAAATAAAAAAAAATTCGATTGATTGCACTCCGGAGGAATGGAGCTGCCTCCCCATCATCCGATGAAGATGATTGAAAGAAAAGAAAAGAAGAAATGCGAAATGAAAAAATTGAAACGCACCGAAGACGAACGAGAAGACGAAGCAAACAAATCTCAAGGTATAATATTATATTCGTGGATAAAGAGCAAAGGGAAAAGGTGAATCGAAACGAAATGGAATAAAAAAAAGAGTAAAAGAAAAAAGAAACTGTTCTCGCATTGATTTCAAAAATGAAGAAATGAAAAAAAAAAAAGACGCTGCGTTTTTCGATCCAGATCCGTTCTGTTTTTGTTGTTAGTTTGTACGCACTACGATTTATCGCAATTTATTGTATTATCGATGAAATACTGTAACAAAAATACTGTTAACTATTCTTAAAAAAATTAAAACTTTTGTAAACTGAGACCAAGCCGCGTCCACGGTGAATTATTCACGCTGCTCCTGATTAACATTCCAAAAGATCATTCTTCTTGTCGTTGTTACGTTACTTTTACGATGAAAAAAGAAACAAAATTACGGAGTTTTATTTAATTAGAATTTCTCATCGATTTGGTTAATTTAAAGATAAGGTAAAAATTTAAAAATAATATATATTAAATTATCATATTTTTCCTAGTAAAGTAGTCTCTCTAAGATTGCAAAAGATAGTTCTTCGAATCATTGTACGGTTTTCTTTCACCATGAAAAAAACAAAAACAAAATTACAGAGTTTTATTTAATTAGAATTTCTCATCGATTTGGTTGATTTAACACGTTAAGCGCCATGTCAGTCGCCGGCGACTGACACTATTACTTTCGGCCGCGTCAGTCACCGGTGACTGACAGTATACTTTTCGTTGGTCGTCTTCTGTTTATAGTTCGCATGGCCCACTTTAACGTGTTAAGGACAAATGTTCCCAGTGAAACAATTTCAGGTACCAAGATGGAGTCGGAGCCTGCAACTCGGGGAAAAATATCACACGCAACAATTGCAACAACGATATATTTTTATTTAATAGGATACATTTCGCTTCCACATAGTTTTTCTGCTTCCGCAGTATCCATTGTCACAGCAATGGTGTAGAAGAATATACAACAATTCATGCATCGAATACACCGCACACAAAAGCTTGCAACAGTCTTACATCGACATTATCGTAATACAAAAAGCTCGGCGATTTGTCGTTTTCATCCGGCGGAAAAAAAGCCTCGGAAGATTTGCAACACCTTTTGATTAAAATTAGCACCGTAGAGTGTGTTTTGTCTTTAAGTAAAAGAGATTCTCGCGTTCTCTCGACGAGTCAACGTTAAAAAAATATCATTTCATCGAGCTAAAAAAACGTAATCTAAAAATATAGAATAGAAAGGTATTTCACAGGTATTGTGTTTGCGTTTAAAATTAATGGATGGCATCAACGGACGTTGCTCGTACACGTGAAGCTACAAGAGCGAGCAACAAGCTATGCAACGTTTAATGGAACAATTAGAGGAACAGCTGGAGAACAGCTTCGGCCAGGAACGATCTTGCATCGGTAGGAATGACTAAAGGGCAAAATTGCTGGCGATCACAATTTCTGAGATCATCAATCATCCGCACAAGAGACGCTGTCCCCCAAAGAGGAGTCGAAGTCGGAGAACTCCTTGATCCTCCTCTCTTGCGGAGGTTGGACGGTTCGTCCTAGCAGGCGAAACGGGGATTCCTGTGTGACAATTAATTGAATATTAAATTAGTCAGAAAATTTCGTTTCTTTTGTTAGTAGGTTTTTGTGATTTTTAAAATCAACCTGTGAAATCCATCGATCCGTTGAATATTATTTAAGTTCCTCCGTTGAGCGATCTTATGTAGATTAAATTTCACTTTTTTAAATGATAGATTACACTCGAGAGATGAAAGAGATTAGTACTGAGTATTTGAAAGATTTTACTCTTCAAATATGTAAATATACCTCAATGGAAATAATAGATCTGTGCTTAATAAGTGTCATCTTCAGCAATTTTTTATTTCAAAGATTTTCTTCACATTTAACTAATACACCTAAGAGGGTGAACAGAAGCTATAGTTTATTTAATTGTAACATCTAAAGGTAACACTGTTTGATACTTTTAATCTAGAGAAATAACTACTTCGTACATTGCAATCCTCTGAAATAATTGGACAAACGAGAGAACATTAATTTCAATGGTAACAATCTAAAACTAGCAATCTTTAACACTTAGGTACCTAAATGAGCAGTCTCTCACAATTTTCACGCTTTGTACATACAAATTTTGAGTAACTAACTTTTTTTCAAATATCGATTCCCAAGTAAGAGTAAAAAAAAAAGTGACTAACTCCACAAAATAAAATTCATTAAATTTGTCCAATTCGTGGAGAATTAAGCACCAAGTACGTGCTTCGATACCAACATTGGAAGAACGTCAGAAAGTGGAGTTAATCAATTTAACCTCTGAGTATAAATCACTGAAATAATACGACAAACGCGAGAACATTGGAACTCTCGTACCTTCTTCTGCATGTAGCTGCGCAAATCGTGACCCATGTAGAAGGCGATCCTCTGCAGGCTCAAGAGAGACCTCAGCCTCAAGCAGGGGTCCGGTTGGAGCAGTCGTTTCAGCAGATCCTTCGCGGCTGGAGAAATGTTTTCCGCGTTCGGTGATAGAGTCCCAGCTGGTGCATAACCAGTCCCTCTGTCCTCTGGCAAAAGTTCGCTGGATACACCAGCCGGATACTGCAACAAGAACACGGACAAGTGACGTAATTGGTGAAAGACTGCTGCGTCGAAGATTGTACGAGATGTCAATAAAGATAGGAGAATAATTAATTGAAAATTATCGTCTATCTGTGTCGATAATGCACTACTGAACCAGCTGATCGATCCTGAAAAGAAATATAATTAATTTTCATATAGCCTGTAAAAAAAAGGAAACAACAGTTTTCTCAGTATAGAATTATGTAAAGTAAGAAATTTCGACAGGGTTTTATTTGGGGCTAGTTTTAGAAAATACTGAAAATTGGCAAAATGTATCATTTATCATTATTTATCATTATTATAGTATTATTTAGAAGTGAAAGTACAGATTTCTTAGGTAAATATTTGACAGTTCTGTAAACGAGAAAGTAAATAATTTCTAATTTTTACTAATCCATTATTCGTGCCCTAAATGTAAGTATGTTGAAAATCGATTTTTTTCACCATTTCCGAAGGTAAAATCGAATCTCTCTAGTTTACATTAGGTCGTTCCACAAGTTCATGTCAAAATTTATAATCTAGATCAATATTTCCAGCGAACCTTTAACACTAGAACTACCAGCCGAGTCAAAATGAATACCCATTAGTGAAAATTCGATTCATATCCATTCAAATAGAAGCATACACATCGAAAATAAATTCGGAAAGTTACAAACGATAATACCGACCAGTATTGAACATTCAAGTTTTTTCGAAAGATGCTAATGGGTCATTTTGACTCGGTCGGTAATTCTAGTGTTAAATTACATTAAAAAAAAAGAAAACGAAAGAGCCTTCTAATTCCACTTCCTCCCATTTTGTCGGTAAGACCATTATATCGACCGCGCAAAATTTCCTTAAATTTTCATTAAAACATTTCTCCCTTCCGAACTTACGCGATCTAATGATTCCAAATCAGTAAATACAGCGTATTTCACATTTAACCCAAGCAAAAGACAATAGAAAATAAATAACCTACAGCGTACCAAAACGTCGTCTAATAAACAACGAGTGAACAACTCTTCCCTATTTGACAAGTTACCGACGGAAAACGAAATTACCTATTCACCGACCCAATAACAATCCGCACCTGTCCAGGCCCGTACGGTGGCCAAGCAATGGCTCGCGGGCTTGCGAGGCGCGCTTCTCCGGCCAGGCGGTGCGGTGTCCATAAATATTTGTTTTTACGAGTGGAAGGAAGGTCGGTAGACTAGAGAAGCTATTACCGATGTGGACTCTAGCCTGTCTAGGTGGTCGGTGCCTACACTCGCCACTCCGCTTCGCGCAGGTACACACGCAGGGTCAACGGCCACTCACGACCCTCAACCTATTCGCTCGTTCATATCCCTGGAGCGTGTGCCACGACCTCGCGCGATCCTCTCTCACACGCACGCGTTCGTTTCTTTGTCTTATCCGTTTGCCCGTGATTTTTCCTTTTTTTTCTTCTTCTTTATAACGTTGGAGTAGATTGATCGTTTCTTTTCTTCCACACGCTGCAATTGGGATTTAGGGTTTTGATCGATGACGGCGTAACGAAGAGCGTTGTGAGTGTTGATCTTGCGAAAGGTGGACCGGTGGATGATGGCGAGGATTAATGGGAACGGTGGTTTTCTTGGAAGGATTTCAACGTGACAAGGTTAATCGCGTTTGTGAATCATTGGCTGTGGATAGTTGGAATTGACGTAGGTAAATTAGATTGTTCTGCTTTTTTTGGGAAGACACTTTTCATGTGGGATGTGGGCTGTGATGTAATGGGGCACTGGAGGAAGTTGATGGCCTCGCTGTTTCGAATTTGTTCGTGTCGAAATGTGGGACAGGAATGGTAATTCTTGTTCAATTCACATCTTTTATTTAGTTGTTTATTTATCTGATTGTTAATCAACGGGTTTAAGAACCCTTTAGTATGCAGGCGTTGAAATTCACACAGAGCAGTAGTATAGTGTACGGTACAAAATAAAGAAGAGAAATAAATGAAATAAAATAAAATAGAATAAAATGAGACCACGCAAGACAACGAGTAAATTAAGGATTATTTGCAGATAGATAGGAAATCCCGAAGAAATTAAGATTACTGCAATATCTTATCGCATCTGAACTTAACTTTTCTCTTTGCCTGCCCTCTGTGTTATGTCAGTTTTTATGCTAATGGGAAATAGGAAGGTGGATAATTCAGCGAAGAGTGTTGAAATTTGGAAGAAGTTTATGTTATGAAAAAATGATGCACCTAATTTTAACGTTGAATAATTCAGTATTATCTAAGAACAAGAGGAGCTGTGATATTTTGGTACCGTTGAACATCAGAAGTGGTACAGGATAAAATCGAGAAACGGTACTTTTGAATAAAAAGTAAAGTTTGTTTGCTAATTACACGCTCAAAACGCAGCACTTCATTATCAGCGAGATCTTAATCGACTTCTCGCTGTGCAATTTATCAAGATGTTGTGTCAGACAAAACAGGAATCACTCTTATTGCACTATTTTACTCATACATCTTTTGACACGGGAACCTCCTCTAGTCCTACATTTTCTAATACCTTTTATAAATATTACCTATCGAGTTAGAAACGTAATTTATCCCAGAAATCCGCTTCTCGGTGGAAAATTCGTATTCTCGATGTAACACGTGCAACAATACTAGTATATGCAACTAAAATCAACTACTGCGTTAATTACTAGGTTAGGTTAGGTTAGGTTAGGTTAGGTTAGGTTATCCTTTAATTATATTAGGTTATAGGTAAATAATGAAATTGAACGTAGGATGAAATTTACGTAATAAGGGTTATTGTAAACATAACCTAAAAATGGTTATCGTGAAACATAACCTAAAAACGGTTATCGTGAAACATAACCTAACCAATTGAATACAAAACAGAAATAAACGGAAATATACGAGATAAAACAGGAATGCAATTATTATTACACGGATAAACTCCTGTAATACACTACTTACAAAGTCCAACCTATACAATTTAGATGCTTGTGATTCTCAGAAATAGCAATGATGCTTTTTCGCCTCGAGGTAATTGATGAATCGCTAAGAAGAAATCAATCAAATATCGATACTTCTTTCTTTCAAGAAACTAACGTCCCACTTCAATTATCCGTAAAACATTTTTCCCGTTGCTGTAATAATCCCAGCAATTTGTTCCACCCAAGATTCACGCAGGCACGCGAGCCATTCGAACGTGAGATATTCCGAGAAATGTCTGCATCGTGATTTTCGACCTTTCGACGATGGAATGTGTTCCTTGAATGGGATAAATCAGCGGCTACCGTCGATAATCGTCCGAGAAGAGGTCCTAAATCATTGTTTACAGGCGTCGTCGATCGGGGAAAGGACGACGACGGTGTGGCGAGGAGAGACGCGGAAGATCGCTGACCGGAGCGGACGAGATATTCCAATTCGATCTCGTGAGGAACCTTGACCGAGAATAACGGTACAGAACGATCATTACGAGATCGTAGATAGATGAGGCGCTTTTAAGCGGCCCTGGTCTGTTCTGCATAGATTCCAAAGAGAGAGAGAGACGGTTCCAGTTCGTTTGATCTGCACGAGCACCGATATCCCTGGCACCGTGATCTTCGGTTCGATGGTCCTTCCACAGACGTAACAGTATCTCGATAAATAAATGCTGAGAGCTGATTAGCGATAGACTCAACGGGGATTATCGATGGTTTCGACGGAGTCTCGGTGATCTAGATGGAGGATCGAGACGCAGCAGCGCGTGTTGCAAAGTGGAACGATGGTTGTTTTGGATTTATGATCGATGAGAGATGTTCTTTTTCGTCGCCGGCAAATTGGAGGCGTGTTAGAAAGCTTGTTTACGAGTCTTGCTTTGGGAACACTTTATCGCAGAGTGGTTTATACGCCTTATTAACGTTGTTAGAGGTATCGCGTGGAATTAAAGTGGCTTTTATCAAATTAAAATTCCTTTTATCGTTAGATCTATCAATGAGGTCTCCGTGGCTTGAGGTGCTGAAGTAATGTAAACAGGAAATGAGAATTGCAAATTCTCCGAATGTCAGGAAAATTTGGTAGATCAACGAGTGGTTAAATAATTAACTAGAAAATAATGCAATCTGTATTTTTTATTATATACGCTGCAAGGACTGTATTTTAAGGGAAGATTCTGTGGAAATAATGGGCTAACCCTTAAATGTTAAGAAACTTGCAGAAAGCAAGAAGTAATATTTGATCGTACGGAAAATAAAAATTTAATAAATTATCACTAATTATTTATAAGAAATTATCAATAATTTAACGTCATATTTTCTAACTCAACTTGAAGAATACTGTCATTTAATGAAACATCGAGAAATAGTTTAGTGAAAACACTAATTTTGAGAATTACAAATATTTAACAAGGAAAATTCTTTTCCATTTCGTTTAATGAAACGAAGAAAGGATTTACTCGTGAAATATTTGCAATTCTAAAAATTATTGCTTCTATTAAGTAACAATATTTCTAAAGTAAAGTCACAAGACGCGATGTTAAATTACAATTATATATAGGCAATACGGCTAATTAAATAAGAAACGCAGCACACATTAGCTAGTACAATTTCAATCTCATCTCCCTTTCTTCGCAAAACTGTAAATTGCACTTTCATCTCGAAATCCTGCAGAACCATCGTGAAAAGCGTCGCTTAAAATACCAATTATCGTTCATCCTCTCTAACACCACCTAAATCACCTCGTGAATGGACGAAGGCAAATTCGTGAAACAGCCGTCAATCTCCTAGGCTCGAGCAGAGTAAACAGATTCTCTTAGCGACGACTTCCGCGTGTTCGCGGCGCTGCCTGTGGCGTCAGCGTCTTCGTCTTCGTCAAAGTGTAATCTCGAGACGCGAAAAATCGGGTTCGTTGAACCTGGGCGGCGTTTCTCGAAACGGCGATTTCTTTTCGAACGACGAAAACGCAAAAAGAAGACCGTGCATACCGTCGCCTATCGTCTCTAGAAACGATATGTACGGCGAGCGTGGCCACGTTCAACTCGTGA